GTGATATGACTGAAATACTCCCACATTAAACTGACACGCCGTGATATGACTGAAATACTCTCACATTAAACTGACACGCCGTGATATAACTGAAATACTCCCGTCTGAAACTGACACACCGTGATATAACTGAAATACTCCCATCTGAAACTGACACGCCGTGATATAACTGAAATAGTTCCACATTAAACTGACACGCCGTGATATGACTGAAATACTCCCACATTAAACTGACACGCCGTGATATGACTGATATACTCCCATATCAAACTGACATGCCGTGATATGACTGATATACTCCCACATTAAACTGACACGCCGTGATATGACTGAAATACTCCCACATCAAACTGACGCGCCGTGATATGGCTGAAATACTCCCACATTAAACTGACACGCCGTGATATGACTGAAATACTCCCACATTAAACTGACACGCCGTGATATGACTGAAATACTCCCACATTAAACTGACACGCCGTGATATGACTGAAATACTCCCACATTAAACTGACACGCCGTGATATGACTGAAATACTCCCACATTAAACTGACACGCCGTGATATGACTGATATACTCCCACATTAAACTGACACGCCGTGATATGACTGAAATACTCCAACATTAAACTGACACGCCGTGATATGACTGATATACTCCCACATTAAACTGACACGCCGTGATATGACTGATATACTCCCACATTAAACTGACACGCCGTGATATGACTGATATACTCCCACATTAAACTGACACGCCGTGATATGACTGAAATACTCCCACATTAAACTGACACGCCGTGATATGACTGAAATACTCCCACATCAAACTGACACGCCGTGATATGACTGAAATACTCCCACATCAAACTGACACGCCGTGATATGACTGAAATACTCCAACATTAAACTGACACGCCGTGATATGACTGAAATACTCCTACATCAAACTGACACGCCGTGATATGACTGAAATACTCCAACATCAAACTGACACGCCGTTATATGACTGAAATACTCCCACATCAAACTGACACGCCGTGATATGACTGAAATACTCCCACATTAAACTGACACGCCGTGATATGACTGAAATACTCCCACATTAAACTGACACGCCGTGATATAACTGAAATACTCCCGTCTGAAACTGACACACCGTGATATAACTGAAATACTCCCATCTGAAACTGACACGCCGTGATATAACTGAAATAGTTCCACATTAAACTGACACGCCGTGATATGACTGAAATACTCCCACATTAAACTGACGCGCCGTGATATGACTGATATACTCCCACATCAAACTGACACGCCGTGATATGACTGATATACTCCCACATTAAACTGACACGCCGTGATATGACTGAAATACTCCCACATCAAACTGACACGCCGTGATATGACTGAAATACTCCCCCATCAAACTGACACGCCGTGATATGACTGAAATACTCCCACATTAAACTGACACGCCGTGATATGACTGAAATACTCCCACATTAAACTGACACGCCGTGATATGACTGAAATACTCCCACATTAAACTGACACGCCGTGATATGACTGAAATACTCCCACATTAAACTGACACGCCGTGATATGACTGAAATACTCCCACATTAAACTGACACGCCGTGATATGACTGAAATACTCCCACATTAAACTGACACGCCGTGATATGACTGAAATACTCCCACATTAAACTGACACGCCGTGATATGACTGATATACTCCCACATTAAACTGACACGCCGTGATATGACTGATATACTCCCACATTAAACTGACACGCCGTGATATGACTGATATACTCCCACATTAAACTGACACGCCGTGATATGACTGAAATACTCCCACATTAAACTGTCACGCCGTGATATGACTGAAATACTCCCACATCAAACTGACACGCCGTGATATGACTGAAATACTCCTACATCAAACTGACACGCCGTGATATGACTGAAATACTCCCACATTAAACTGACACGCCGTGATATGACTGAAATACTCCTACATCAAACTGACATGCCGTGATATGACTGAAATACTCCCACATTAAACTGACACGCCGTTATATGACTGAAATACTCCCACATCAAACTGACACGCCGTGATATGACTGATATACTCCCACATTAAACTGACACGCCGTGATATGACTGAAATACTCCCACATTAAACTGACACGCCGTGATATAACTGAAATACTCCCGTCTGAAACTGACACACCGTGATATAACTGAAATACTCCCATCTGAAACTGACACGCCATGATATGGCTGAAATAGTTCCACATTAAACTGACACGCCGTGATATGACTGAAATACTCCCACATTAAACTGACACGCCGTGATATGACTGATATACTCCCACATTAAACTGACACGCCGTGATATGACTGAAATACTCCCACATTAAACTGACACGCGTGATATGACTGAAATACTCCCACATTAAACTGACACGCCGTGATATAAGTGAAATAGTCCCACATTAAACTGACACGCCGTGGTATAACTGAAATATTCCCACATTAAACTGACACGCCGTGATATAACTGAAATACTCCCATCTGAAACTGACACGCCGTGATATAACTGAAATACTCCCACATCAAATTGACACGCCGTGATATAACTGAAATACTTCCACATTAAACAGACATGCTGTGATTTAACTGAAATACTCCCACATCAAATTGACACGCCGTGATATGACTGAAATACTCCCACATTAAACTGACATGCTGTGATTTAACTGAAATACTCCCATCTGAAACTGACACGCCGTGATATAACTGAAATACTCCCACATCAAATTGACACTCCGTGATATAACTGAAATAAATCCCACATTAAACTGACACGCCGTGATATGGCTGAAATACTCCCACATTAAACCGACACGCCGTGATATGACTGAAATACTCCCACATTAAACTGACACGCTCTATGACTGAAATACTCCCACATTAAACTGACACGCTCTAATATAACTGAAATACTCCCATCTGAAACTGACACGCCGTGATATAACTGAAATACTCCCACATTAAACTGACACACCATGATATGACTGAAATACTCCCACATTAAACTGACACGCCGTGTAAACTAAAATACTTAATGTTTCAGTTACAATGAGGGGAATGTTCCACATTTGTGCACAATTCACTGACGAAGATTCCGTATAGTACGGTGTCAAAGCGGCGTTATACCCAACTCACTCACTCACTCAACTCAAACATGAAACAGATGAGCGATAGTGATAGCTGATGCAGATATTAGCAAGTATTGAAGCGACCGTCAGATCATAACCTGTCCCCGAAAAGCTGGGGAAATAATTTGTGCTCAGCTTTTACAAAAACATTTATCGTTCCCATAACCCCCACCCTTACTCACCAAACCCACCCAAAATTACATTAAATGGTTGGGCCTTTAGTGCATTATCTTTCCAGGTCGGAAAAAATAACAATATTTGTTTGGAATTCAGATAAGAACTAATTTTATTACATCTCGGAAAGTTCATTAATGTTGTTCAAGGTTGTAACCGAATACAAAACAAAGAAAACTAACAACCATTGCATATTAACAGATACCAATATTGAAAACCAGGATATAATCCATATTGTTGGACCGCCTCCTTGGTCTAGTGGTAGAGCGTCTTCCTGGAGAGCGGAAGGTCCGGGGTTCGATCCCCGGTCGCGTCATACTAAAAGACGTTATAAGATGGTACTTGTTGTTACCCTGTCTGGCGCTCGACATTAAGGGGCTAAAACAAGGACTGGTCGACTGAGTCAGTCTACTATGTCTGAGTGGGGTATTCATGTTAAACTGCGGCATGATATCTCAGTGGGCGAGCACTATAAATCGGCATCAGTCCGGACTAGTACAAGCAGAAACACACACATACACGTGCATGTACGTCGCTAAATAAGTGTAATATGCTTGGACGAGACGTTTTAAACCCCATTTCACCTCAAGTCCAAATTGTTGCAAATTACGAATATTCAAAGATTGACAATTCAGACTCCCTATTCCCCATAGATATCTACAGCTAGAAAAATGTGATACAAGCCTTGTTTCAGCTCTCACCCCGGCGCAGTGATCTCCCTGAGATATTTCGGGGCGGTCGGGTAGCCTAGTGGTTAAAGCGTTCGCTCGTCACGCCGAAGACCCGGGTTCGATTCCCGACATGGGTACAATGTGTGAAGCCCATTTCTGGTGTCCCCCGCCGTGATATTGCTGGAATATTGCTAAAAGCGGCGTAAAACCATACTCACTCACTCACTCACTGAGATATTTCACTGTCACTAGCTTAATTGCATATCACGTGATCGGACTTTTCTCTTGTTTGCAAATGTCCTGATTTGTCTCGAAATCATAGTGGACGACCTTCAGTGCGATTGACAGAATGTCTTGCATAGATATCGCTACTACAACAGCCATAGTGAGGAATGTGACAATACACCTGAACAGATCTAAGCTTCTTCCCGAGGCAAGAGAGTTCACTGACTATAATAGTTCAGTTTCCACCCTTGCCGAACTTGGCTGTGATTATGAAGTTATATTTTGGCTGGATTAACGAGTCTATGCATAGTCCAATCAAAATCGCGTAACGAAATCGACACTCGGTTCGTAAAAGCCCGTGCAGCTTTCGGTCGGTTGCAGGATTTGCAGAGCTTGTGTACCGCCAAATCGGCGTCAACATATATTTTCCAAATCTTTTCATATTTCTAATGAAGATGCTCACCGGATTTGATGCACTTCGCGAAGTAAGACCCGTCCAATTACAATATAGATTTTGATTATCGATCAGATCGTCCTGACTGTGGGCTGCCATTTTGTTTAAAGTAAATGCAAGTGATATGAGTAGTGAAATCTGATTGGTCAATAGGAGGGACATAGAAGGGACATAACTAGTAGTAGCCACTGATGGCGCTACGATCGAGCCCAGAAATTCCAGCCTAGTTCTGAAAGGTTGGAAACAGGACTTTTACTGTCAGTTAACTCCCTTGCAGTCAGTTAACTCTTTTGCCTCGGGAAGATATGATCAATACGATCGTCTCGTGGTTATTCGTCGGGTTTCGATGTCAGCACGTGGAACTTTACAACCATTGTAAACACAGGACAAATACGCAAATGGAGGTTGTTTTACACCTTTTGGGATATTTGTTAACCGTTTCATGACCAATTTTTATCTAAATGTGACTTTTCAATAATAAAACACATGAAAAGCATACTTTAATTTGTTGAATGGACTATAAGACGTGGCGATTCGTCAACTATCGCTGGCCTATGTCAAAGGCACTTGGCTGGCCGCAAGGAACTCTAGGTAGGAAAACGGTTCCAGCTCACACACAAATATCATGACAAATGTCTAAATATAGTCCAAAAGGTAGTCCATGTCTTCAAACGTTATATCACTTGTTTCAAAGCTCACACAATGATATCATGACCAGATTCCTTAATATGGACCAAAAAGTAGTCCATGTCTTCAAAAGTTATATCCCTTGTTTCACAGCTCACACAATGATATCATGACCAAGTTTCTCAATCTGGCCAAGAAAGTAGTCCATGTCTTCAAACGTTGTCCCCGAACTCTGCAGCACCAACCGGAAGAAGTTGACATGGTCCTTCTGTGGTTGGTAAGTGATCATCATGGACCCTGCACGGAGCATGCGCTCCTTGACAAGTGGCGCCACCTTGTGGAGTCGAGCACGGAATTCTGGGCCATCGGGGACTTTCCTCAGTGATGGTGGGATGTACCAGAAGCAGACATTGGTCAGTTGTGGTTCTGAGACAACCAACTGGAAGCCTTCACGCACTTTCAGTCTTTTTACGAAATACTTGGTGTTGTCGAACAGTGTGTTGACGTGTTGTTCCAAACCCTGTGTACCCTGGCAATAAACGCGAAAGAATTGATACAATCATAAATTAATTAGGTATCACATATTCATAACACCGATGTTTTAAAGGAGCTTTTTTGACAGAACCCGTACCACCGCACTTGTCTATTGTTATCTGCGTTGAAAATCGCAGGTTGTGAATGGAGTTTCCAGCTCAATGTGCCATTGCACAAAGACCGAACTCCGGCGCAGTGGTGACTCAGCATAACACCACTGCCACAGGCTAATTTGCATATCACGTGACCGGACTTTTCTCTTGTTTGTAAACAAACGCGCTTTTTCAGAAATCAATGTAGAACGGACTAATGCAAGTATTTGGGGTCGCTTAACATATTGTTTTGCATAATTATATAGATATGCTACTACAACTGCGACAGTGAGTTGCATGACAATATACATTTATGCATCAAAAAGACAGTATCGCCAGCTCTCCGTTAGGCTTCGATGACAGCACGTGGAGCCTTACAACCAATGTAAACAAAGAATAACTACGCAAAAACAAATAGATTTTCACGTATTAGGATACTTTCTTAATGAACCGTAACCATTCTTTGACGTTTGTTTATGAAAATGTGTTGACTTGTCATACATGAAACGGATGAAAAGCATATTCAATATCTTGAATGGACTGTGAAAGATGTGACGAATCGTCACATGGCGCTGGCCTGTGGCAGAGGTACTATGCTGGCTGGCTGCCGGCCGCATGGAACTCTGGGTAGGAGAGTGCACAAAGACGTTATTAATCCTATGACAGATAAATGTTATCATAAACATAACTCCTTGCTGTGAAGTATGAAGGGAGGCTGAAAAGCGAAGGATATAAACTCTTAGCTGTTTGCATGTATTAAGTACAATATTTTCCGTGCTATTCAATACTTCCATGAATCAAAAATACACACCCAGGCAGCATATTTCTGCAGGCATCAAAGAGACTCGGTTTTTTCTGTCCATGAAAATTACATGTCATTAAGTTTCTCCAACTGAAAGGGAGAACTCCAACAGTCATCCATGCGGGATGATTTATGGTATGATGATATTTCCTTTGCCACTGTTAAGAGGTTGGCAGTAGAGTTCAAGGGTGGAAGAGATAGCCTTGGAGTTGACCCAATACCAGGACCTTCAACTGCCATCACTAAGGATGCGATGTTTGTTGTTTAACATCGCACTCAACAACATTCCAGCTATATGACGGCAGTCTGTAAATAAATCCAGTGATTGACACCATGAGCATCTTTCCACGCAATTGGGATCGATGACATGCATCAACCAAGTTAGCGAGCCTGACCACCTGATCCCGTTAGTCGCCTCTTACGACAAGCATAGTCGCCTTTTACAGCAAGCATGGGTTGCTGAAGACCTATTCTACCCTGGATCTTCACGGGTCTGAATGTAGTGACGCAAACATGGGTCCACTAACTCGCAATGTTTGGAGTGTGTTGAAATAGCGTTTGTCTTCGCGTTGAAGATAATGGCACTTATGTAGCGAGGGTGTTATTTGTCCCTTCCTCATCATTTACAAACCTGCCTCTTCCTCATCATACACAAACCTGTCCCTTCCTAAAAATACACAAAAATATCCCTTCCTCATCACACATAAATCCGTCCTTCCTAAATAACCATACACAAAACTGTCACTTCTTAACCATGGCAGATGTGACTGCTTACCTTGGCTTTCCACATGAGCCAGAACTTGAAGACGTCCACCTTGCGACCACACTGTAAAGTCTTGTCGCCGGTGTCGTAACTGACGTCGTAGAACTTGTCTGGTTGGAAGAGGTAGGACGCCTTGGCGCTGTGAGCCGCCAGCAGCACTCCTTCGTGTTTCGTGAGGAGTGTTGCACACTGTTGTGGTGCGCCTAGAAGTTTATGGGGGTTCCACGTGACCGAGTCCGCCCGATCCACTCCTTCCATCAGCCCACGGTGACGTCGGGACATGAGGACGCCGCCTCCCCACGCACCGTCAACGTGAAGCCATAAACCATTAGCAACGCACACGTCCGCGATGTCGTTGATGGGGTCGAAGGCGCCAAACACTGTTGTTCCCGCTGTGGCCACAACCAGGAAGGGACGTGCACCCTGGATAAATAAAGACACTTGTATTCACGACGAAGTTTACTGATTAGCAGGAAACACGGGATGTTTTACGATTCTTTTAGCAATACCAGAAACATTGGATGTGGACCACGCAATTCCTTCGTCCATGTGGGTAGGGAGTCGTTCTTGACTCTCAGTTTCGCTGATTTTCATTAACCACAGTAACTCTCTACTCTTGCTTTCATAAAGTAGTCAGACCGCCTCCGTGGTCTAGTGGTAGAGCGTCCGCCCGGAGAGCGGAAGGTCCGGGGTTCGATCCCCAGTCGCGTCATACCAAAAGACGTTAAAAGATTGTACTTGTTTTTACCCTGTCTGGCGCTCGGCATAAAGGGGCTAAAACAAGGACGGGTCGGCTCGGAGTCAGTATACTGTGTCTGAGTGGGGTATTCATGTTAAACTGCGGCATAGTATCTCAGTGAGCTAGCACTATAAATCGGCATCAGTCCGGACTAGTACAAGCAGCCACACACACACATACACGTGCATTCACGTCGCTATATAAGTGCAATAATCTTAGACGCGACGTTAAACCCCATTTCACCTCACCTCACCTCATAAAGTAGTCACAAGTTATGGATAACAACTTCTTTATTTACTGTAAAGGCGACGTTTCGGAATAGATCCTTGTCTTGACAACGGCACAAGGATTTATACCGAAACGTCGCCTTTACAGTAAATAAAGTAGTTCTTATCCATAAATCGTGTCTACTTTTTCATCCGCTAACATCCGTCAACGTTTTGCTTTCATGCAGTATTTGTGATCAGATGAGGAATGCGTCTCCTACAACTGAAGAATGCCTTAGGATAGCGAGAGGTAGCCAATAAGTTCCTTGTGTCTCAGTCATTTGCAAACCTTGGAACAGGTTTCTGCAGACACAGGGCGCCCTAGGCTAACAAAACAAGTCCTGGATTGTTTAATCAGAAACCAGGCTTTAAGAAATCGAGGCCAAACAGCCAATCAAATCGATGTTCACTTGCCTCGGGCCACCGAAGTTTAAGCTACTGACAAGACGACCAGAGACTGTCTGCATGCAGCTACTATGCTTGCTCGGCGACCACGTATTGTTCCACCGTCAACAGGGCCACACATTCTTGCCAGGCGCCAATTGTGATTAGAACATAGAAACTTGGGTAATCGCCGATATTCTCGTGTAATATGTTTTTAGGTCAGTCCAGATCCACTTACTACTTTCAGGATAGGCGCGGATGTGTCAAAGGGCGTCCTGACGAACGTCTTGTGAACGTCAACGTAAGGCAACATGACAGATTTGGGGATGGCTATGTAATGATTTGGGACAGGATCACTATGAATGCCAGAACGCCACTGCATATTGTCCATGGAGGGGCCACTGGACAACACTCCATCTGTGGAGATTGGAATTTTATCCAAAACCCAGACATTGATCTGAATAACTACAAGAATGTAAGCAACCCCAACGCCAGAGAAAAAATACTAGAATTCATTTTTTGACCCTTGGAGAAATATGAACCCAGACGAGAGACGATATACGTGGAGACAAACCAAACAAGGCAATGACAGATTTGATATAGACGACCAACTTTTGTTCGAAACAGTAATGTTGATGATAAGAGGTCAAACTGTAAAATACACCTCGGGAAGGAAAGGTAAGCGAGAACAGAAGGAAAACGACTTACCAAAACATATGGAAGAATTGCTAATCAATCTAGAGTCCTCTAAGGATATAGAAATTAAAAATGATATGCTAAAGAAACTTAAACACTGAACTGGAGAAAATAAATAACATAAAAACATAAGGAATAATCATGCCATCTCGGGCAGAATGGAGAGAAATGGGCGAAAACCCAACAAAATACTTCGAATTCTTAGCAAACATAATAAAAAATATCTGAATAAGGCTTTAGCTTAGCTAGAAACAAAGACTGGGCATACCATAACTGAAACAAAAGATATTAACAACGAAACGCAGAGATATTACCAACAGTTGTACACTAAACAGACATGTAGAAACGCAGACCAGATGATATTTAAAGATCTTAATATTCCAAAACTAAGTACACCATAACAATTAGGCCTTGAAGGTGAGTTACAATATGAGGAAGTTTCAACATCTTTGAAAAATATGAAAAATGAAAATAGTCCAGGTCCTGATGGATTTACTGTAGAATTCTACAAATTATTCTGGCTGGATCTGTATAAATATCTGATACGATCATTGACTCTAGGTTTCAAAAGAGGAGAATTATCAGTTAGTCAAAAGCAGGGACTAATAACACGCATTCCAAAAAAAGACAAACCAAAGCAGCACTGGAGACTAATTTCACTTTTAAATGTCTCCTATAAGATAGCATCAGCAACAATAGCAAATAGAATATAAAAAAGCCAACACTAATTAACGAGGATCAAAGAGGTTTAATGTTAAAACGATACATAAGGAGAATCCACTAGATTAATTTATGATATTATGGACTTTACTAAATGCATGCAAATCCCAGGATTGTTATTACTTGTAGACTTTGAAAAGGCGTTCGATTCAGTAGATTGGGATTTCACCCAAGAAACTTGAACTTTTTTAAAACTTTGGACCTTCAGTTAAGTACTGGATAACAACCTTCTATCACGATATAAAATCAAGGTGACCCGCTATCTCCTTATATATTCTTGTTATGCGCTGAAATTTTGGCAATAATGCTCTAAACGAAACTAGGATCGTTGAGATAGAATATCTAATTTCCCAATTCGCAGACAATACATCTCTCATATTAGATGGAACTGGAAAATGTCTCCAAAACACAATGACAACTCTTCAGACATATGCGTATTTTTCAGGCCTAAAAATTAACACAAGCAAAAATCAAATGTGTTGTGGATTGGCTCACAACGCTTACCTGATAAAACTATGTGCAAAAGTTGGAATTTAGATTGGTCAAGAATAGGTTTTACTCTTCTCGGTGTTATTTTTACTCACAATTTGGCAGAAATGCTAGGAAGAAATTGCAAAGACAAACTTAAAACTATAAAAATCATCATGAACTCTTGGTTAGCACGTGACCTGACCCATTAGGTAGAATAACTGTACTACCTTGCCAAAATTAACCCCTTTTTTCAACCCCATCTAATCCAAGTGAAAGGTTTATAAAAGAACTCGAAACACTGTTTTTTCGTTTTATATGGAAAAATAAAGCAGACAAAATCAGTTAAAATATTATAATAAATTTTTATGAAGAGGGTGGCATAAGAGTCCCTGATATTAAAAATACAATCAATACTCCGAAGATATCTTGGATTAAACGTTAGTTCCATTCATATCCACACTCTAAACTCACCACTTTTTGGGGGTGTAGAATATTTTATGATATATCAAATAAGGTATCCAACAATATGATATGCCTAAAATACATTCAAAGATCGGGACTAGATCTTGGCCTAAACAGATTAATCGTAGCCTCTACAGATATAATGTGTCCTCAAAACAAAAATGGTTCCAATACAGTAGTATTCATGGACTTATACCAACAAACGAGTTACTGTACAAAATGGGATATAAAGAATCATTTCTTTGCAATTTTTGTAAACGAGAAAAACAAACTCTCGTGCGCATGTTCTTTGAGTGTGAAATTTTTAAACATGTCTGGAACAACCTAAGATTGACCATTTTATTGAGATATCAACAAAAACAAAATGATGTTTTAAATCATATTGTAACTGTAACAAAGCAAAGTATATTCAAATCAAACATTTCCGACTCCATACCAAATTTCCAACATATCAAACAAGAAATAACCGATTCATATTACGTCGACAGAAATATATCATATTCACAATGTAAAGACACACAGTTCATGAAACATTCGGCACTCTGTCACCACCTATCGTGTAAACCCCCGAACTTCCAACATTCCAACAAAGATGTCAGCCTGACACTAGAATAGTTTTTGTTTGTTATTATCCATAGATATACTTTGAAACTTGTATGTATGTAAGTTTGCATGTGAACTGTATTTCTGTAAACTTATTGTTTGTGTACTCCAAAAAAGAAATAAAATCATAAAAAAACGTGTTTCCGAGTGATGCTGGTTAACGTTTTGTCTTTCAAGATGATAACGCTCGTGCCCACCGTGCACGTAAAGTAACTGACTACTTTCATCAGCAAAATATCACCCAGAATGCAATGCCCAGCCATGAGTCCTCACATTTCCCCTACTGAGCACGTTTGGGACATAATCGGGAAACGTGAACGCTGACCATCTGCTGCATCAGACGGACTGGGACAGGCGCTGCAATCTGAGTGGGCTGACGTCAATAGCAGCAGTAGTCGGACTGAGACAGGCGCTGCAATCTGAGTGGGATGGCATCAATAGCAGCAGTAGCCGGACTGAGACAGGCGCTGCAATCTGAGTGGGCTGACATCAATAGCAGCAGTAGCCGGACTGGGACAGGCGCTGCAATCTGAGTAGGCTGACGTCAATAGCAGCAGTAGCCGGACTTGGACAGGCGCTGCAATCTGAGTGGGATGACGTCAATAGCAGCAGTAGCCGGACTTGGACAGGCGCTGCAATCTGAGTGGGATGACGTCAATAGCAGCAGTAGCCGGACTGGGACAGGCGCTGCAATCTGAGTAGGCTGACGTCAATAGCAGCAGTAGCCGGACTTGGACAGGCGCTGCAATCTGAGTGGGCTGACATCAATAGCAGCAGTAGCCGGACTGGGACAGGCGCTGCAATCTGAGTAGGCTGACATCAATAGCAGCAGTAGCCGGACTTGGACAGGCGCTGCAATCTGAGTGGGATGACGTCAATAGCAGCAGTAGCCGGACTTGGACAGGCGCTGCAATCTGAGTGGGATGACGTCAATAGCAGCAGTAGCCGGACTTGGACAGGCGCTGCAATCTTAGTGGGCTGACGTCAATAGCAGCAGTAGCCGGACTGGGACAGGCGCTGCAATCTGAGTGGGATGACGTCAATAGCAGCAGTAGCCGGACTTGGACAGGTGCTGCAATCTTAGTGGGCTGACGTCAATAGCAGCAGTAGCCGGACTGAGACAGGCGCTGCAATCTGAGTGGGCTGACGTCAATAGCAGCAGTAGCCCGACTGGGACAGGGGCTGCAATCTGAGTGGGCAAGACTCCCTCAAATTGTCATTTGGTGATTGTGTCGAACCATGCCACGAATTTAAACGAATGTTTGACCGATCGTGACGGCAAGACACCTTATTGATCAAGCCATCTCAAACGTTCCTTTTGTGACAACACACCCGTCGTCGTTCCTGATTGTCTGCACACTAACAACGCACCTCCAACATATCCTGTAGATTGCCCAGTTACACCTAGTCTTTCCCGTTTATTATCCACTCCCTACTATCACTCGATACCGCTTTGTATTTCTGCAAGCATATGTTATTTTCGAATAGCCCCTGTCTTTTGGACAGTATATACCCAGAAATGAGTTCTCACCCGTGTGGGGAGAATCGAACCAGATCTTAAATAATCAACCCTTACTGGTGATGTTACACATTCTCGCTTGCCCATGAAGCTTTGAGTTTGTTTGTTTGTTATTTAACGCCGCTCTCTGCAATATTCCAGCTCTATGACGGCGGTCTGTATGTAGTCGAGTCTGGACCAGACAATCCAGTGATTCACAACATGATCATCGATCTACGCAATTGGGATCGATGACATGCATCAACCAAGTCAGCGAGCCTGACCACCCGATCCCGTTAGTCGCTTCCTATGATAGTCGCCTTGTACGGCAAGCATGGGTGGCTGAAGACCTACCCCTGATCTTCACGGGCCTGAGGCTTTGAAGCGGTAATGGTCATAGATGTATTGGCCCTCGAGTTGTTTATATTGATGTCGCTAATGATGTAAAACCTCATTGACATAAAACATGAACAAAATATATCCGCATGGATAAGATCAAGCAGCACCAAGCCATACCTGTTGTTTCGTGTCCTCAATCTGGGCCTTGAGGTCATCGGGAATCATCCGGCCTTGAGAGTCAGTCTTGACCAGTCTGATGTTATCCTCCCCAAGGCCGAGAAGAAATCCTGCTTTCGTGATTGAGAAATGGGCGAGCTCCGACGTGTACAACACCAACTGCGGCAACCCGAAAAGACCCCGCTTCTTTGTCTCCGGGAACGCCATATGTCGGGCGCAGCTCACGGCCATAATGTTGGCAATGGATCCGCCAGGAGCGAAGATGCCGTCTCCGCCCTCGTAGCCAATCAGTTGTCGCATCTTCGCCATCACTGCCAGTTCCATGACGGTAAAGACGGGAGCGACTTCGTAGGTGTAGAGACTGCAGTTGAGAGCGTCAGTCACGAGCTGACCTGCAAGACCGTAGGGGTCAAGGCTGGAGAACAGTTGGTTGATGAAGTGAGGATGGCCGGTTCGGACGCTGTATTTGATGACTTCCTTGACCCTGTCCAACAGCTGGTCATTGCTCTCGCTCGTTGGCTGAGGCTCCAGATCCATCTTGGCAGACAACTCTTCAGGAGCCATCCATTCATCGACCTTGCTCTCGCGATCTCCGGCCTTCTGGACAATGTCTTCCATGACGACCTTGAAGATGTCGTGCAAGAAGTCCTCGTGTCCGGCAGGCTGGGTTCGGAATGCCGCATTGTTATCAGACAACACCCTCACGTCCTTTGAGTCCGTCCTTCCCAAGCCCCAGAAAGCAATGTCGTTCAACCTTTTCCTCACGTCGTAACAATTGCCACTGTGTTCGCTGCACACCGCTTCCTCCAATTTGACCAAATCTTAAAGCAAACAAACAATTGATGAAAACAAGTTTTTCTTATCCAGTGACAAACACGTTTGTGCATTTGCATGGTCTCACCTGGGCTGTACAGAAAACAAACAAACAGAACCAAATATTTTCATTGTTTTAGATCACTTAGCATTCGGGCATTTCTACAACTGGTCTTACAGGTACATAGTTCCTTTTATTTGAAAACAGGTAACTACAGCTGTGGCATTTAGATCCGTATGGTTTGTTTGGTGTGTTTGTTGTGTAATGCCGAACTCAGCAATATTACAGCTATATGACGGCGGTCTGTAAATAATCGACTCTGGACCACACAATCCAGTGATTGACATCATGAGCATCGATCTACGCAATTGGAATACGATGACATGCATCAACCTATTCAGAGAGCCTGACCCCCCGATCCTGTTAGTCACCTCCTACGACAAGCATAGTCGCCTTGTATGGCCAGCATGGGTTGCTGAAGACCTATTCTACTGATTTGTACATTTTTGTTCATGGAGTCAATCCATGCATCCTGAACCTGTTGAAGAGTCAGCAGAGTCAAGGCAGCAGCTCGTCGGATCCACTGTTCCACAAGGGGGTTATCTCTGTATCCAACAGCAAGACCAAGCTCCTGTGTTTTCCGCCAAATCGCCTGGGTAAAGTGGAAGAAACACCCCTTGATGTCTGAACCTTGAAACTCTGTCCGGAGGGCTCTAATGGCAGCAACTTCAAAGTCCACCTGGAATGTCTCTGGGTTGAATGGTTGGTTCAGTAGTTGTTGGATGTGGACCTTCAACTGAGCAAAGAGGTGTTGGCAAGTTGTAGTCCGACGATCAGGCATCAATGCGTAGACTAGGGGATAGGTAATGCTTCCTTTCCGTGCATGCAGTATGTAAAGCTGATTCCAAAGATCTGGGCAGGCGGAGAAAGTACCATCCATGTAGACAATGGAAGCTGACTGGAGGACTCTAAGCTGATCATTACTTGCAAATACCACCATCTTGTCTTCTTCACCATCGGCAAAAGGCAGAAACCGCTCACCATCATGGGTCTCTCTCCAGGGTGCTACAATGTCGACTTCAGCTCTGGTTTTAGGGAGTTTCGGGATGGTGTGACCGCGCATCCGTACCCGCATCCAGATCTTTTCTCGAGCCTGGACCTCAGCTGCTTTTCGGCTCAGGATGGCTCGCCTCTTTTTGAGCATGGGGGGCAGGTATGTCTTGATACTTACCCCCGTAACTCCGAGAAATGTTCTTGCCTTATATACCTTATATACCGCTTCTCGATCGGGCAAATAGAAAGTGGCAATTGTGGTAGCGAATGGGGTTTGTACGTTTTTCTCTCTGATATTGAGAGATTGGGAGCACTGTCTACCCTCACACTGTCCAAACTTGAGGCTGTCGATGAAAAAATTCCTGAGAACGTACTCCGTATTTTCCTGAGGATATTCAGATAATCCATATGTAGCCAGGGTGGTGTATTCAGTCCAGCTCAGGATTGTGATTTATTATATGGATTATAATAGTAGTACAAAGCCATTTAATAATCATAATAAAAACTAGTCGTAATTTAAAATTTGAAGTTATATAATACTTGAAAAAGCACATGGGCCAAATTATTTTACAAATTAGTTCAATTTAATTCAGCATTGTAATATATACCAAACCGCAAAAGAAACGTCACTATGGATAGACATATGAGAAACCTGATTTTTTTCAAACACTATAAACATGCTTTGAGATATAACTTTGAAATTAAAGTGTCAAATGAAACCCAACACTAGTGTCTGAAAAAATGGCATCACCAGTCAGTCTCTTGTGTGTCCGCCATGTGCGTTGATGACTGCCCTGCAATGTCGATACATAGAATGGATGAGGCGGCTGATGAAGGTCATAGGCACTTGAGCCCACACGCTGAGGAATGCCTGACGCAGTTCAGCTGCAGTTGTCGGCCTTGGTAGGACGTCATTCAGCCGTCTTTGAATCTCGTCCCACAGGTGCTCAATAGGATTTAAATCGGGACTGAGGGCAGGCCACTGCATGGTTCTGATGCCCTTCTGCTGGAGGAAGTCTCTTGTTGCTCTAGAAATAGAGAGTTAGACCCAAACCACATTCTGTTTGACCACCCATTGACCATCAATCATCTACTATTGACCTGCCAGGTCTTGTAACCACTGGTGGGGTAACCGAAAATTAATCTTGACCAATAGGTGCAGGAGTGGAAGGGCTCGATTCCTCCAGGCGACTCAAGCAAAGTCGACGTCGAAGATGATGGCATCGTCGAAGATGGAACACCAGATAATTGAGCTGGCGGTGACCTTGGAAACGAAGGAGTTTCAACCAGCTGACACAATGGAGAACCCCCAGGCACTGGAGATAAAGGAATTTCCACATCCAGGTCAGTTGAAGAAATTTTCAAAGTGGTGTTAGAGGTAAACCAGGTACTGCAGAAGCTCCTAGAGAAGGCCGAGGGCTTCGAGGTTAAGGAATGGGATGGACATCTGAACCAATGGGAAGAAGTAAATTGCGGTGAAGTACACAGTCCTCCCTGGTGCCTTCCTTCTGGACCTGAAACAACAGAACATTGGAATATGGCTGTGTCTCCACCACATGGAAATCTTCCTCCCATCGGTTGGCAAGCTTCGGTTTCCCAGGAATGATGACCTTGTGAACTATCGCGACATCACCTCGAAAGCAGTAGCACCACGGGCGTTCAGATTATAATTCTTCCTCTGTTTGCCATGGGCCCTGTCTTTATTTTGAGAAGCCAGCTCATATGCAGTTGTCAACTTGCGCTTCAAATCAGCAGAAAACTGCATATAAGCTTGCGATAAAGTGTTGGCGAGAGACGTGCCAAAGGCAACATCAACAGGCAGCCTAGGATGTCTGCTGATCATAAGTTAATAGGGCGTGAAACAGAAAACTCGGGCAAGGTACAGTTATAGGCATGGACCCGCGGCCCGAGCATCCCAAGAAGTGTCCGGTTAAACCGTTCACATAACCCATTCCCCATGGAGTGATAGAGACTTGTCTATATTTTCTGTATCACAAGTATGCTGCACAGTTGTTTGATCACTCACTTTCGAAATTCCGTCCCTGATCTGAATGTAGTTCTCGACATCTCCCATCATTTCTGGCTAATAAAACCTTGTCGGAAGAAGAGCCACAGTACTGTCCCTACCCAGATGCCCACACCCATAATGAAGATGAGTAATGACGGATTCTCATTGCTGCTGTGGAACAATCAGCTGAAAGTAGGGATCATCACCTTCTTTAGTCTGTTTCTTGTAAAGGAGATTGTTAGTGATAGAGAGAGCATCCCACTGCCTGAGGATCGAAGCTGTGTCACTATCAAATGACCTAAGAGACTCATTTGAAGGGCACTGATCTTTGGGAAGAAGGTCCACAATTGTGCAGATTGTGCAGACAAGAAAGCATCTGCTGATCAGTCCCAACTTTGGTAGACTCGAAATCACCAACCTCTAAAACACAGTTCAATACTTCATGACAAAGTGAGAGCATCTCTACAACACTAGATGACTGCTGACTGTTGCAAACCGCAGACACAGATTGGATATCCATGATGTCACATGGTAACCTGGACAACATTCCTCTTCCTAGCCCCTGGTACATACTCTATAGAAAAGTAGTAAGCAGCAAGGTCAGCGAGCCAATGAAGTCCAGTTGCATCCATCTTCGCTGATGTTAAAACATAAGTGAGGGGGTTGTTGTCAGTGTTAACGTTGATGGGGTTGCCATATGGTAGTCATGAAACTTCCTGGTGACAGCCAATTTTTAGAGCTAGAAACTTTAATTTGTGAGCTGTGTAGTTGTGTTCTGATTAGGAAAGCCCTTGTCTCGCATATGCTATCACTCGTTTCTGGCTATTTTGGGTTTGGTAAAGTACCGCGCATCAATGTGCAATTCAAATGGTTGAGTGAAGTCTGCGAAAGAGAAACATGGGAGCAGTGATATATTTATCTTCTGTGGAACTGGCTAGGTCTCCAGTGTCTCAGTCTTCTCAGGGTCTGTCGTGATACCGTCCTCAGACATGATGTGACCCTGATATTTCACTGAGGCCTGCAAGAACTGGCACTTTGAGGGCTTAAGTTTAAGGCCATTCTTGTGCAATTGTAGAAGGATTACACATAATCTCTCTAGATGCTCATCAAAGGTCTTTGAAAACACAATGATGTCATCAAGGTAAATAAGACACTGTCAGAGATGGATGTCGCCCATGCATCTCTCCAAAAGACGCTGAAAAGTTGTGGGAGCATTTGTAATGGACCTACCATACAAGGCAGTACAGGCTTTATGTTCCTCAGCGATTTCGACCAGCCAATAACCGCACTTTAGGTCAAGACAAGTATTTGGCGCTATAAAGTGCATTAAAATTCTTCTCAATCCGTGGTAAAGAATAAGAGTCTCGAACTGTACGACTATTAAGCTGGCGATTGTCCATACAGAAATGTAAGGACAAGTCCCTTTTCCGAACAAGAACCAAAGGAGGGACGTAAGGACTAGAAGAATGGTGAATAACCTTAGCATCTAACATGTTCTTAAGATGGAGTACAATGAAGGTGGAAAGTGTCTATGCCTTTCCCTAAAAGGATGTTCATCGGTTACCTCAATCCTGTGAGTGACTAAGTCTGTGTGGCCCTTATCCATATCAGACTTGCTGAAGATGTCATGAAACTCACTAAGAAGAGTGCGAAGCTTGGCTATTTCCTTACCAAGGGTTTCTAAATTGATAATGTCTTTAGGCTCGGGGTCGGATGTTAAAGCTGGCTCATCCGTAGATGAGAGACCATCTCAAACATTGACTAGCTCTAAACAACAAAGCACTGTCTTGGCTGGAATAGTAACAGCCCTGGTAGATGGATTGGCAACCTCAACCTTAATCCTATTTGTAGACTGTCCTGGTATAAAATTCACAACCCCATTAACAAGGTTAAGTGAACCAGGTAGTGTGGGGGCAGCTGTAGCACAAAACTGCATGCCAATCCGAGGTGCACAAAACTGCATGCCAATCCGAGGTGGTTTACCCCTGCTTATAGCTGCAATAATCTGATTACATGAAGCAGGGATAATAATTGGCTTGGTTGTCTGCACACACTTAGTCCGGTCAAGGTCTTCCCAAAGCCTAATGAGCCATTGCCGAGTCTGACTCCAAGGAGATGCGGTGGCAGTTATCGGTGCACCATGCAGGCTTTCAACCACAGTCATGACATTTGTCCCTAATAGTAAAGGCATCTTGAAGTGGTAGTCAGTCTTGGGCACTATAGGTATCAGTATAGTAACCTCAACTTCCTGACCTCAGAAGTCACTATGGATAAGGATTACAGCTTCAAAATACCCCAAGTCGGGTAGCTTAGCTTCCCCTGCTCCTTTTAACTTCAAGAGTGAACCTACGCTATGGAGCATATTTTGAGGGAGGTTATTTGTTTTAAAGGTCTCGGACATAGTGGTAACCTGTGAACCTGTGACTACAAGAACATTACATAAGTGACCTTCTACCCTAACAGATGTGGCACAAGTGTGACATATCAAATTTGATGGCATCCCTGAATTGAAGCTAATGTCGGAGTCAAATGTTCGCCCCATAACCTTGACTCCTTGTTGTTTAAAGCAGGGCACTGTGGGTGACGCCACCTGACCCCTATCTTCCCGCAATCATAACAGTGTACCTCAGTTTTCAAGGCTAACTGCGATTGAGAAGTAGATGGTGTAATTGTGGTGCTACCTTGGGTAAGTGCATTTGTAGTGGTAGACTTAGTGGGTAGAGTCAGTGCTTGAGTTTTGGCCTTATTGGCTTGATTCTGGGCTGTATTTGAGGGCCTACGAGATTTATATTCCAGGGTGTTAACCCTGTCCCCTACAGATCTAAAGTTTTTATCAATCTTCTTAAGGTGGGATAGCACATCATCCAATTGTCTATTGCTTGTTGTATTGGCTGCCAGTTTGTCATGATTATGCATCCCCATCGTCTTGTCATGCGCAACCAAAGTGAAACATATCTAGAAACATACTCATGTGTGGGTTATCACAATTTTACCATGACCCATTCATTTATCTCATAATCATTCCAACCATACATTAACATTGACAAAGTAGTATCTAATTTCCTGATGTGTTGCACATGTAGCAATTGAAGTCTTTGAAAGGAATTTAGAAATTAGAAGAACATGAATACATGACACTTTTTTACGGCTAGGAGGGGCGGTCGGGTAGCCTAGTGGTTAAAGCGTTCGCTCGTCACGCCAAAGACCCGGGTTCGATTCCCGACATGGGTACAATGTGTGAAGCCCATTTCTGGTGTCCCCCGCCGTGATATTGCTGGAATATTGCTAAAAGCGGCGTAAAACCATACTTACTCACTACGGCTAGGAACTTATTCTTTGTGACGACGGTTTAGAGTTACTTCTTGCTCGTTCATCAGGTGAGAGCTGGGGAAATGCGATAACACAACACTAACCTATGAAATGTGAAAGGAAATCTCACCATTGTTTGGCTGACTCGGGGTAAAATTGTCCGTTTCCATCCTTGGTATGCAGCGTTAACGGCAAAATGTTGGGTAAAGTATATGCAGGCATAAAACCCGAGGAGCGATGAACCAGTGACGGTCAAGCACGTGTGCAGATTCTTGTTTTCCTGATCCACATGGAAATTTGGACAAAACTGCTTTGCCTATTTCATCTGGCTTGAGGTAGAGTTGCGTTGTCTGAAAATAATAGACTGATATCAATAACTATGTGAATTTTAATTCAGTGATTATCTGAATAGTATTACAGAGTTGTCCGTCTTACATATTTTGTTTTATACAGCTACTAAATGGCCGTGACACCGTGGTTGTACGAAGTGTCCGGCGACAGGCATAGAAACTTACTAGGATTACTGCAGTTCCAACTGAAAATGAAAACAGCTTTGACACGTGACATGCATGAAGACCATTGACAGATATTCGTGGCTTAGTTATAAATACTGCGACCCTAGTGACCTTTCTGCATGCAAGGTTTGGTGAAATGGGGTTTAACGTGTGTGTGTGTGTGTGTGTGTGTACGTGCGTGCGTGCGTGCTTGCCTGTGTGTGTGGCTGCTTATACAAATCCAAACTAATGCCGATTTTTAGTGATAGTCCACTGAGATACCATGTCCCAGTTTAACATGAATACCCCACACAGTAAACTGACCGACAGGTCCTTGTTTAAGGGCCTTAATGTCGAGACCCGTGAAGATAAGGTAAAGAATATACCCATGCTTGCGGTAAAAGGCGACTATGCTTGGCGTAAGAGGCGACTAACGGGATCGGGTGGTCAGGCTCGCTGACTTGGTTGATGCATGTCATCGCATCCCAAATGTGTAGATCGATGCTCCAGACTGGATTGTCTGGTTCAGACTCGATTATTTACAGACCGACGTCAAAAAGCTGGAATATTGCTGAGTGTGGTGTTTAACAACAAACAAAAAAACGTAATGCCGTGCGCCAGACAAGGTAACAACAAGTACCATGTTTGAACGTCTTTTGGTATGACGTGGCCGGGGATCGAACCCAGGACCTTCCGCTCCCCGGGCAGACGATCTACCACTAGACCACGGATGTGGTCTCTTCATGATAGCAATATGTAGGCGCAATCAGCAACATTGTTCAGCATTTTGATTGTTGTTTAACGCCGCAGTCAGGAATATTACAGCTATATGACGGCGCTCATATAGACAATCCATATATTGACATGATGAGCGCACATCTACGCAATTGGGATACGGACCCGTGAAGATCCGGAGTAGAATAGATCTTCCGCATCCCATGCTTGGCGTAAATCACTGATGTCAATCACTGAATTGTTTAGTCCAGACTCGATTATATACCGACCGCCGTCATATAGCTGGAATATTGCTGAGTGCAGCGTTAAAAAACTACAAACAACATGGTTTTATGTCATAGGCTTATGCCATGGATACATGCTTCAGTTAAATGGCATTCTAGTATTATATATTAACCGTGTCTTTGGATAATACTCGACCCTGATTTGAACATCTTATCTGACGGCCATTTCATAGTTTATGAATATCATTGCGCACCTCTTTCGTCAATCATATCTCTGGTTGAGTGAGTGAATTAAAACAAAATCACATCGTCAGTATATCACAAGGCATACACTAATAATTTCTAAAAACTTGTCAACGATGGACAGAATGGCGACTACCACATAGTTTCAGTACAACTTTGCCGTAAAACGTTATGAGATGAGGTGAGGTGAAATGGGGTTTAACGTCGCATCCACTTATAAGCGACGTGCATGTGTGTGTGTGTGTGTGTGTGTGTGTGTGTGTGTGTGTGTGGTTGTACTAGCCCGGAATGTTGCCGATTTTTAATGCTAGCCCACTGAGATACCATGCTGCAGGCTCAATGCCAAGAGGCAGACAGGTTAACGACAAGTACCATCTTTTAACGTCTTTTGGTATGAAGCGGCCGGCGATCGAACCCGGACCTTTCTATCTCCTGTCGGACGCTCTACCACTGGACCACAGAGGCGGTCCTGAAACGTTATGACTAATTACCTACGGTATGATATAAAACTGGACCAGAGATCGCCAGCATTCAAACTTAGGCCACCACACTATGGACTGGGGGCATGGTCACAAACAAACAATATTGTTCGACAAAATTGAGACCCAGATCTGTCAGATCAATGCAATTTCGACAAGCGTACATTTTGAGGATTTTCTCATTGCAAATAGAGCCTTAACATTTGGTACATGTAACGGTTCATTATGTCCTCATATTTAGCCAAATCATTTGGACGGACGTGTTTATATTAGCAATTTAGTGAGCGAATAAACGTGCTCTGAATACTTATAGTGGAGCCATTTCGTTTCAGTTATTGGGCCACCCAAAAAATCAAATATGGTCGCCAGGGATGGATTAAATTATGGTATATGTCGTTTGATTAGGACCCACAACCTAAATATATTATGAAAACTGAACAATTTGGAATGTATTTACCCAACACTACATCTTTAAAGTAAATAACTATATTTTAGTACTCTTTATTTTGATTTAGGTCAACTAAAGTGTAAAAATGAAAAGAATATGCATTTCTTTCTTTAAGACACATAACTAATGCCAAATGACTATATTGCATACTCAGAATATTTAAAGAACAAAATTTGTGTCCATTGAAGTATTCTTGTACATTGCTTATGTTTTGGATGGCTAGTGACAATGAAATCTGATCACGTTTGCATAGTGTGCACTAATCAAATGTGCTACAACACTCACACCTTGCTCTACACCCCTGTCAGACTTACAACTACATCTAATGGCATGACTTAGAAGCTTGTGGTAGTGTAGTCCACAAAGGCTCAAGCCATGTGCTACCGATATTACCCATCCTCTCTCAGTTCGTGTTGAATTTGAAACTGCACCCTGCCCAAAGGCTACGGCACTGATTTTAATGGAATTGCAATGTCGTCCCTTAATCACAACTTCGGAAGTGGCTCAGTACTTGGTTCAAGAGCAATGAATTACATATTTCACACATAATGACAAGATGGCTATAATTTCTTATAGCGTGCGTGCGTGGGTGTGGTTCCAGAAATATTTCGGTCAAACCGTAATTATTACGAAACTGCTATATACAGTTTAGCCATGGGTAAACAATAGAGTTTGCTTTACGATCAGATGTCATGAAGTTGTATAATACGTTTGATATTTTTTTCATTACTTTGCATCAGAAAAATCATCAATTCCCATCCATGCTGCAATATTGTTATCAACCAAATCTGCTTCAGTGGTACACTCTGAGAACTCATTTCTAGTGTTCCACGCTTTGATATTGTTGAAATATTGCTGAAGAGGCATAATTCCCAACTCAAATGACAATCTGCATATACATTAAGTTTGAGACATCTGCTTGTAATAAATAACATGACGTTAATTCTTTGTTCATCGTGAATGGTATTATTTACCATACTGATTACAAATAAGCAAGATATGAAAGGGTATGCAATTTTTATATCCAATATTGTATTCATCAGGTTCCAGATGATATACTCTAAGTTGCGTATATATCTCTTTCAGCAGTTTCGGTTATTCAGGACAAATTCCACACCAGCATTGAAATCAGTGTTGGGGGTACGGCAATATCCTATTGAGCACGAATCTAGCCCCGTCAAGGAAATAAATGAAAGAAACAACGACTGACCATTATGGCCTTGGGGGTTCAAACTTTGTACAGATCCAACTCGCTCATTCCCATTGTCCAAAATCATAGAAACTTACGGCAAACTACAACATTGAACATATATTGAAAACACAGCCACTTTGGCCCTATAAGAGTATGTGGCAGCGTTCGCTCGTCACGTCGAAGACCCGGGTTCGATTCCCGACATGGGTACAATGTGTGATGCCCATTTCTGGTGTCCCCCGCCCTGATATTGCTGGAATATTGCTAAAAGCGGCGTAAAACCATACTCACTCACTCACTCCCATTAGAGACTTCTCGTAGAGAAGACTAGAAGCTCCCACTCACTCAGTTCAGAGAGATATTGCTGCCTTCGCCTTTCCTTGCCGTTGTCCAAACCAAAAGATGGGTTTGACAAACAACTATGGGCAGCAAATGGAGCATGTAAAACCAGGCTCTCTCACTCACTAGAATTGATATACCTCTGTGGTTGGATGGACAGTGTGTATCTCCCTGCTTGAGTAATGGTACAATTAGAGTGGAAGGTCCGGGGTTCGATCCCCGGTCGCGTCATACCAAAAGATGGAACTTCTTGTTACCCTGTCTGGCGCTCGGCATTAAGGGGCTAAAACAAGGACCGGTCGGCTCGGAGTCAGTTTACTGTTTCTGAGTGAGGTATTCATGTTAAACTGCGGCATGGTATCTCAGTGGGCTAGCACTATAAATCGGCCGGACTGGTACAAGCAGCCACACAAACAAACGTCGCTATATAAGTGCAATAATCTCGGACGCGACGTTAAACCCCCTTTCTACCTCCCCTGTAACATGCTGGCACGTTCAGGTATAATGTACCAATAATGTTTCAGTTTGCTATTGCACTTGGCTTCGTCTTCATCTTGATGAGCATTAAGGTTATCATTAAATTTATACTATGTGGGTTATTAATCATAAAAATGATTAATGTATTCACATACCTCGTGATCTGGATATATAGACACGCTTTAAGTTTAATTAACCAATACGCTACATTACCGAATTAGAATAAATTACTTAACATGGTATGATGACTTCAATGCATAGATGCTCAATCATCGAGGCGTAATGACACACTTTAATTCAGTAATGTTTCATTTAGCGGTAACACATGGTAGTTGTGTGTTTTCCTCAACTGTTTGACAACGATAATAATATTACGATCGTACTTTACGTGCCTTTTCTGTTCGAGAACAGCGGACGTGAATCAAACTTTAATGTACCCCGCTTGATCCGTCTATGTTTGGAGATGTTCATTTTAACCCCGGACTCTTAATCGATACAGCTTTTAAGATTTTGCATCTTAACGTTCTTAAGTCAGACTATATAGTCTTGAAGCGGAGCTCAGACATTATTATGTAATGAGCATATCTGGAAATTTATGAAATGAAATATGAATTGTGATTGTCATCTGCCAAAGTACCTTCTTTTCATCTAAAAAGTTTGAATATGTACACTTAAAATATTGTAATAAAACACATATTTTGTCAAATTGGTTAAAAAAA